GCTGCAGGGCCTGCAGCGCAGGTCGTAGCACAGGAAGCTGCCACGGCCCCCGCAGCCGTACGGATGCTTCCTGTCACCTGCAACACCATTAAGGGGGAGCGCGCGCCTGAGCAGGACTGAGGGCAGCTCTCCCGCACGCAGCTCCGCAGGGCTAAGGTTGAGGGCTTGGTGGCGCACAGCGGAGCCGGGTGGGAGCAGGGCAGCCCTCCCCTGCGCAGGGCCCAGAGCCGGCCCCATGGAGAAGAGCCCCTGCCAGGAATGGCCCAGCCCAAGGACAAGCCCTCCCGGAGCCTCCTGCCAGCAGCCCCCGGGCAGAGAGCAGGGACACAGTGGGCCCTGCGCTGTCCCCAGCGGGAGCCAGCCCGCGTGGCGCAGCCTTACCTGGCTCCTGCGCCTGCGAGTGCTTCCCCTCACGCCATCTCCAGCCAGAGCCCTGCAGGCACAGGGGCAGCAGCAGCGTGAGCACAGCCATGGCCGAGCCCACCCTGCCCGGGCCCTGCGCTGAGCACGGCCGGGCGTCCTCCTGCTGGCTGCACGGGGTGGGGGGAAGCCCTGCAGCGCCCTCCTACCTCATGCTGCTCAGCAGAGCGGCTGAACCTCCTCTTCAGGGCATCCCAGGCCCCCAGGAACAAGAAGAAGATGGGGCAGAGGCAGAGGAAGCATCTGCTGCCCCAGAGCAGGGAGGCCCAGGCGTGCTGAGCCATCCCCAGTGCATCCAGCATGGCTGGACAAGCACAGAGGGTTCAAGAGCAGACACAGCTCTTGGGAGCTGCTCTTGGCTCCCCACGCAAACCCTCTGTGAGGCAGGGCCGGGCCCGACCCGCTGAGGTCCCGGCTGCAGCATTGTGAGGCCATGGAAGGCATCATAGAGCCCTGGCAGAGGGGACAGCTGGGGTGGGGGCTCAAGGGGCGTCTGGCGCCAGGCACTTGCTGGTCACAGGGACCATGAGGAAGGGCCCAGGCACACGGAAGTGCTGAGGGTGAACGGGAGCTCTGGAGAGCAGCTAGTCCAACCCCCTGCCTAGGCTGGGCCACCCAGAGCTCGCTGTCTGCAAACGAGCACTTCCAAGCAGAGCCTCCACGACCTCTCGGGCCTCCCGCTCTGCTGCTCTTGTCCTCCTGCAGGAAAGCAGTTTTTCCCTGTGTTCTGATAGACCTGCTGTGTTTCCCTTGGTGCCTATTGCCTCTCAGCACTCGCTGGGCACCCCATGAACAGAGCCCGTCACACTGGTCGGATCCACCTGAGCCTTCTCTCCTCCAGGCTGAGCAGACGCAGCTCTCGCAACCCTGCAGGGCCCGGCACTGCCTGGAGGCCTCAGGGGCCACAGCAGAGCACAGCTGGGAAACCCAGGCCAGTCCACAGCGGCCCCAGGCACACGCAGGTCACAGCCACGGGGACACGGGAGCTTCCCTGCACGGGGTCTAATAGCGACACTCACTGAGCAAGGAGCTCCTGGGAGCTCATGGGAGCCGGCTGAGGAAACGGCCATCCCTGCCGGGCCGCGTCCCCACAGCAGCCACAGCTCCCAGTGCTGCCGGGGCAGAGCCGGCACCAACTGCCCCGGCGCAGTGGCCGCCATCTGCCCCCGCCGCCTCGGCCTGGAGCCTTCTCCTCCGCCGGTGCCTCGTGGACCTCCAGCCCAGCAGTGCTCAGGCTCCTGGCCCTCCTCTGCAGCGTTTCTGCCCCCGCCCAGAGGCCTTGGCCTGGGCAGCCCTCCTGCTCCCCACAGGCCGTGGCCCTGTGCTGAGGAAGCGAGGTGGCGCGTGCCTTCGCTTGTGGGGTTTATTCCATTTTTTCTTGCCAAGGAGAAGGTCAGCTGGCTCAGCGGTCCTGGGCCCCCTTCCCGTCGGGCTCCTGCACATAGACCCTTTCCTTCTACAGCTGCTCCTTGAGTGTGCGAGGGTGAAGGGCAGCGCGCGCTTCTTCACATGGTGTCTCGGGCAAGCTGCTCCTCGGGGTCTTGCTGGGACCAGCTGGAGCTAAAAGGGTGGACAGGAGGGGTCACAATGTCACTGACAGCAGCCATCCCTAGGAAAGAGAAAAGGCATTTAGATGCAGGAGTAGCACAAGGCACTGCAGGCAGCTTTCCTCTGCTGGCGAGAGGCTTCGAGCCCTGGTTTTCCCCCGCAGGGGCAGGTGGGTGGCTCTTTGCGGTGATTCTCGCAAACCCTCCTGCCTGGACATAGCCCTCTCCGTGGGGAAGGGGTGCTCAGGCCCCGAGAGCCATCTCAGAGTTGAGTGTCAGTCATTTGTCCCTTTTGGGGCACTTACCCAGCACATCCTGCAGCGCCACATCCTCCCTCGCAGCCATGATTTGCAGGGCCGTGCTCCTCGCCAGCGACTTTGGGGGCTTCCTCACAACACTGTGATGTCCAGGGCTGAAATGAGCCACTCGGAGGGGATGAGCTCAGAGCCGGAGGAAACCCACATGGCTCAGTGGCAGCCTGGCCACAGACTGGGCTCCTACCTGCGAACTCCAACCTTACCTACACTGCCAGCAGCCAGCTCCCAGCTGCGGAGGAATCTGGGCTCCCCCAAAACACCCAACCTGGCAGCAGCTGAAGGTGGTGGCAGGAGCTGCACCCTGGGGGTAACCGTTCCCTCTGGGTCCCTGAGGGCTGTGCTGGTGCTGGCCCTGGCAGAGCTGGGGGACCCAAGCAAGGACATGGGCTCCCGCCTAGTCCTCACCAGCTCCTTCTCCCAACCCTGCAGCTCCTCGGTCCCCTCGTGGTGCTCCCAGCCCGGGCTGCCCAGACTCACGGCAAAGATGAGCAGGTACCACCCTGCGGCAGGGGCTCCCAGCAACGATGAACCAAGCACCGGATCGTGGCCAGGGGCAGAGCCGGCTCCGAGCACCCAGGGCCTCGGCTTCCCATGACTTCCTGCCTGGGCACAGCTCCAGCTCCTGCCTCTCTCTCCCAGCTGCCTCCCAGGAGCTCCCATCTGCCTCCAGCTGGGTGATCAGGGCAATGGGCACAGCTGCACGGGGAGCCCTGAGGCAGCTCTTGCTCCCCTGCCATGTCCCCCTGCCAGCAGCTCCCAGAACTTGGGCATCTTTTTTTTCTGGAGGCTGCAAGACGGAGCTGATCCAGCCCAAACCAAAACCGCCACAATCTGAAGCACAGGGAGACCAGTAGAATGAGGCCATCCATGCACAGTCCCATGGCCACAGAAACCCTGCACTGTGTTTCTGTCAACATCAGGTTCCCCCAGTCTTCCTGGAGGGAGACACAAAGCACCAGCCAACTCAGTGCAACATTTCCAACATTTTACTTTCAACGCTCCCTCGTGCTCCAGAGCTCCCCTAGGTCTACGCTCGCAGACTGCAAGGGTAAAGGGCCGGGGGGTCTGTGAGCCAGGAGCAGAGGACACACCTCAGCCCCAAACACAGCGATACCCGACCACACGAAGCCACAGCCTTGGGGAACAGTGAAGCCATGTCAGAAGGAGCAGCAATTGAGAGCAGCAAATGCATTTTTCCTAGGGAAGATGTGGCTTGTATCCACTAGAGCTTCCAGCAACCATGCGATTAGTTGTTACCCAAGCCCCTGGGAGAGTCCGCTCTGAAATCGAAGCTGGCTTGAAAAATTCACCTCCCAAGTGCGCAGTGATCCAGGGCATTTTATTGGCAGTAAAAGGTCAGAACATTTTCTTGGTTTCCTCTGGTGAGGATGACTGGAGGCTGCAAGTCTTGTGAGAGGGTCTCTAGCCAGGCCATATAGAGGGAGCTGGGGCAGCGACCCTTGCGGCCGATGGGCAGCGTGCTGTGGAGGCGGAGAAAGAGGAGTGAGGGCAACGAAGTACAAGAAACCCTTGGCCAGCCCTGCAGACACAGCAGTTTGTTCCTCTTTGGCATGTAGGTGCCAATTTGCAGATTATAAAAATGATACCATTTCATAGAATCATAGAATGCTTAAGGTTGGAAGGGACCTCTAGAGGTCATCCAGTCCAACCCCGCTGCACACGCAGGGTCACCTAGAGCACGTGGCACAGGACTGCGTCCAAGCAGTCCTCTCCCCGTCCCCAAAAATAACCCAAAGATGTGAAAGAGCAGCTACCACCTACATTGCAATCAGCGCTGCATCCCGTGAGTAATCCAGCAAGATCTCGTTCAGCCTCACTTGCCGAAGGGACTAAGGAGCAAAGGCAGAGCACTCCACCGTCGCAGAACAACCACTGCGGCAGCGGCAGAAGGACCAGAGCCCTCATGCCCGGCTGAGCACAGCCACATCTGTCTGTGCTGGAAAGGGCCCTACCTTGGCTCTGTTTTTATTGACCTCCTCATCAGAAATCTTCCAGGGACAGTCATGCCGCATTTCGTTCACCACCGCCTCATCTTTAAACCCATCATTCAGCCTGAAGGGAGCAATCAGGTCGTCAAACCTCCTGATGCTGCAAAATAAGCACACAGTGTCACCGAGCAGGGCCCAAGCAGCGTCTGCCATCCTGGGCAAGTGTGGCCAGTCCCTGGGGTTCACGAGAGGGGCTCACTACTGAGGGCAGGCCCAGAAACTGAGCTCTTCTACTGCCCAAGCCCTCTGTGCTGAAACAGGAGGGGACCCACACAAAATGTGGCTGGTGGTGAGCAAGGTGGCATGGGGGCAGGAGGGACCCCATGGTCCTGGGCATGCACTCATGCATGTGCACTGGCATCAGCCTAAAACGGGTAGGAAGAAAGCTGTGGAAGCGAGTTACTGCTCAGGCCGGGGGTTCTGGTTGATGTCTGGCAGGATGTGGACCTCGTGAAAGCCCAGGCGGAACTTGCTCAGCAGCGACACAATCCTGCCGACAAGAGGAGGGAGTTTCAAAAAAACTCTTAAGTCTCTTTAGAGTGAGAAATTTCCCTAAGTGTTTTCCCAGCTGTCTTGATGAATTCAAAACGTTCATTAGTCCTGGAGAGAGCAGAATCTGCCACCACAGCCTCGCTGCACAACTTCGCCCGGTCTCCCCTGCCACCTCTCCAGACACTGCTGCTGCTCACACACAACCCGCTTCTGGCCTCATCCCCATAGGAAAAAGTCTTGCATAAGCCTTAGCTTGCATTTTCCATCCCTACTTTCACATTTCATGCCTTTGTATTTCCCAAGGCATGAGGCTGCTGCTCTGAAAGCAACTTGGACCGGGCTCCTCCCTGCTCCCTTTAGGACCCTTGGGTTAGGCAGAAGTTTCCCAGGAGAAAGTGTCCATGGCTGGGCCCTCACTTACGCCTTCCTCTCTTCATCCATCCTGTTGATCTGCCCGCCGACAAACACCCGTATTTTGCACTTTCCCCACCGCTTCTTGCGCCCAAGAAGATAGGGAATGAGGAGCGTGAGCCCTGCCAGAGAGCACAGCGAGCGCTCAGCCCACTCGCTCGCGTGCAGCGGCCGAACGCTGGTGTGAACTGCAGTCCAAGCGACGGAGCAGACCCCGAGGGCTTGTTAGCACTCTGCCGACACAAGACACTCCTGGCCCCACGTGGAAAGGAAATGGCATGAAGGGTGTATATTAAAGAGAAAAGTTACCTCCGTCGTCAAAGAGCCAGTAAATGTCAATGGTCTTTTTGCCCTGCCCAGTCTGGAAGATGGTGCTTGCCTGTTGTCCAGCTACAAAGGCACTGGAGTCCACTGGAAAGGCAAGAAAGAGTCCTGGCATGAGCAAGGGAGACCTGCAACCCGCCAGCTCAGTGCTCGCAGCAGAAGTGTCTGCAGCCGGCGGGGCAAGGGCTGGAGCGAGCGGCAGCAGTTGCCACGAAGGGAAACAGCTGCCAGCATAGCTGGGTCAGCAAGAAGAGGGAATAGCTTGCGTTAGACTGGTTAGGAGGGTTGTTCATAAGGAACCTCATCAGACTGACATGTGCCAATGATGGGGGCTGCCGTGCCACCAGTGCCACTCTCCTTGGGGTCCTCTGCTGGCTCAAACATGGGGTTAACTGGGAGGGAGGAAGGAGCAGAACAAGGCAGTGAGAGGAGTGCCGTTGGCGAGGGGGAACAGCGCTGCCACCCGGTCATGCCCCACATGGACGCTTGGCCGGGTTTGCCCTGACGGTGGGGGTCTGCTCTAAGGTGGCATTTGCTATGGTGCAGCGCGAGGAATGCACCCAGCCCTCACAAACGCCTTGGCAAAGCCCCAGGAGTTGTACCCCACAGAGGGGCCGGGCCCACACCCAGCCTGCGGGCACCATGCTGGGTGATGTGAGCAGAGCACTGCACAGCTTGTGCTCCGGCACTCACAGCCCAGGCACCACATCCAAGCCCCTGTCCCCAGGCTGCACTGGCCACGCAGAAACTAGTTGCTTGCTTTCCCCTAAGGAGAAGAAGATGGGGGAAACACGCTGCAGGCAGAGCCAGCTCCGGACAAGAGCAACGCTTGTTCTCCAGCTAGGTGCCGTTGGATGCTTACTGTGAGCCTGCATCATTCTAGAGATGTCCAGCCCTTCCTTTGTCCTCATTAAGCACACACCGTACTTGAAATCAAAGGCATCACTGGAGGGAGAGTAAGAGAAGGCAGTTAACGTTGACTGACTTCTATGTGGCAGCCCCAGGGAGCAGGCAGCAACCTGCTCATGCTGCACAGATGCTGAAACCTTTCTATGAAACATGGCAGTCTGCTCATGGGGAGGCCCAAGTCTTTGATGGTGATTCTCACACCAGAGAAATCTAAGAGAAAAGCAATCCACCTCTGCCAGCCCAGAGCAGTAACTAAACCTTTCCGTACCTGCATGTCCTGAGTTTTCATGCCAGTCCTTGTTCTTTTAGGGAAAAGAAGTTGCCCTCACTTTACCATCAGCAGCCAGCAAAGGGAAGGTACCAGCCTGGAGACACCAAGCCCGCATGCTCCCCCAGGCAAAGTCCCTGCAGGGGCTGGCTGCACTTGCCCCACACGTGCCACCCATCAGCACCCACCCTTCTGCCAGGTGCTGCCCCATGCCACCAACTCAGCGATAGACCTGAAGGCGCTGAGCCAGCTCACGGATCTCTAGATCTGTCTGCCAGCAAGAGACCAACTAGACACCAGCACCACCATTTGTCCACGTAATCCTCCCATCACCAAAGCAAGTTACGTGAGCAGTCAACCCATCTGCTTCCCAGCGTACTGCAGGATTCCTACGTAATCCTCCATGGTCTGTGGGTGCGCTGTCTGCCAGTTCCTTTTGTACCCCAGGGCTAGGATGTTGGGTCTCATCTTCCCAAGACCTGAAGCCTGGGAAAAAAAGGAAGGATATTTACTGCATGTCCTTTGATGTCCCTGCATGGAGATGGAGGGACACAGGTGTGCTGTTCTGCATGGTGTTGTTGTTCTGTAGGGTCCAACCTAACAAAGCGCAACAGCAGCAGAAGGGACAGGGTTGCGGCAAGCGTGGCAAAAAAGAAGCAGTGGTAGAAAGGGAGCAAAGAGAGGTCATGTAGTTCAGGAGAACGGTCAGGAAATGGAAGAGAGGCGACAGAAAGCATCAGAGTTGGATGTTGACTGTTGCTTCCAGTCAGCCCTGAATAGATATAGCGGCACCAGCAAACCTGACCTGTCCCTCTTGAATTCACTGAAAACTCATGAGCAGAAGCATTAATGCGATCCCAGCCTGCGTTACCTACAAGGTTGGGGCTGAGCTGCTTTGCAGCTCTACCTGTAGAAGTATTTGGACTCCACTTCTCAAGTCCTCAGCTACCACATCTGTATAGAAAGCCTTGATCTTCCTCTTGATGAGCCACTTTGTATGGCCTTCAGATGTCAGGCTGGATTCTGGCATCTTCTGTTTCCGTGATCCCTGTTGGGAAGTGGGAGGAAAGGATACGGCGGCAGCATTAGTGTTTGGGGCATAAACAACAGCAATGCCCTTATAACTGGTGACTTTATCACAAAGGAACTTCATTTCCCCCTGCTTCTCAAATCACTGATAAGACTTGGATTTAACCACTGCATGCATGAAAAGCTGCAGTCCTACCAAAGTGCCAGTGAAGATAGCCAGCAATTGACACATACCATGCCAACCCTCACATAATGAATCCCCCCTTGCAAAACAGAGGGAGTTTGTTTTATGTCATGTTCCCTGCACAGCTGATGCAAATATCAGCTCCTAAGGTCTCAAAATACCTATCTGTGGTATAAGACAAAAATGTCACATTTATTTGGAGGACAAAGTGCATCATGTTGGGCTAAGTCCTGAAGCCTTTGACTCCGGTGGTGTCAGTGGCAAAATGTCTACTGAGGATAATGCCAGATGGAGACCGTCCTAACCTACCATCTCCTATTTATCAACATTTCCTCTGACAAGTGACTCAACACAGCTGGAAGACTTCCCTGCAAACAGCATGCTCTGGACTTGGATGCATCCAGCATGCCTGAACCACACACTTAGAAGCATCAGCCTAAGGGATGAGCTCCGGGCCACCCTGAACCAGACACCGGCTGCAGCCTGGTGGCCTTGCTGCAGGCTGGCCTAAACGTGCCCACATCACACTGACATGGCCCGGAGCAAGCAGCCCTGCTCCTGCCACTCCTTAGGGGAGCACAAAAAGCTGTTGTCCCCACTTGATCTTGAAGGTCTGAACTCACTAGAGCACAACCTCATCCTCTGATCAATGCCCATCTGCCACGAGCAATGTATGAGCTTTGCTTTGTCAGTTCAGCTGCGATGGGAAGCTGTTAGCCCACAGTGGAGCTGTGGCACATCACCAATATTGCTTAATGAGCCGGAGGGACTGCCAGCAGGAACAGTCTTGCTTTTAAGTCATCATTAGGTGGCACATAGGCATACATATTTAAATCACTGGCCCAGTGATCCCATCACGACACAATCTGGATTCTTCTAATGTGTTTTCTAGATCACCTCCCACAGATTGCCAGTTTCTGCCAAGACCAGGATCCAAATGTATTTTTTCTGTAGCCTCATTTTCCCCTTTCTCTCTCACATGCAGCAAGGACTTTACAAGCTGCTCTCTCACCAGCTGTGTCACCACGGCTCTATCACTCAGCAGCCATGGCAGAGTGGCCCTTGCTGTCCCAAACTCTGTGTCTGGATTCTGAAACACAGTTCTTCAGACTTGAACAAGGCCAAAAAACTGACACCAAGAACTAAAAATACCTGCTGCTCTCTGTACCTGCTGCTACGGATGTCCAAATCCTGGGGTCTGACTTGCCCTTACCTCCTGTGTCAGGACTGTCGTCCCTTTGAGGGAGCACAGGGCAGTGCTCTGTGAATACTCACTATCAACACGTTCCCGCAGATCATCAAGCTGAGATTCTTGGTGAAAGTGCCCACAAAATCCACCAGAGCTGGACGGAAATTGGGAGGGCCAGTTAAAACCAGGCATTGAGGTCTGTGGAGAAAGCAAGCAGGGGGATGCTGTTATTTTACAGTAGGGTGTCACTAAGCCTGTCTGAAGGGAATCAGCTCTCTCTTCCTGTGTGTGGCTAACAGCAATGCTAGGAAGCATCTTTGGGAAGAGACAAAAGCATGTGGCTAAGTGGCTTCAATCCTGTGAGATCATAAGAGAATGAGGGCTCTGCGTCTAGTTGGGCTGGGAAAGGTAATGAGAAGGGTCCTCCCATACCTGCAATTCACCCTGTAAGCCAAAGCTGCAGGGAGGACCTGGGCTGTGGAAGCCTGTTGGCCCATTTTTGCTGGAGCCAGATGCGCTGAGGGCCAAAACAAGAATGTGGCCAGAGAGGGGAATCGGCCCTGGGTTTACTGGAGGAAGAGGCAACCTCGTCTTGCCTTTGGCCTCTTCTAAGTTTTGAGCGTGACACGGAAGCAGCACTTGCCTGTAGTTCTTGACGTGCTCGTCCACTTCACTGAGTCCCACAGAGTAGTTCAGGGCCAGGTTGTAGGAGCTTGCTTGCACGGACGAGCCCCAGTTCACATCTGCAGCGGCAACGGTCATGTGCAACAGAAAAGTGAGAGGGACTGGGTTGGACCTGAGCTATGAGCTGTTGCAGGGAGGTGCTCCAGAAGCTCAGGAGACCATGCAGAGCAAGCGGCCTCCACCCAGGGACCTCTCCACAGCCCCTCACGCCGGCACTACCTGCAGCATCAGAAGCCCCTGCTGTGCACCTGGCTTTTTGTAGAGCACATATCCCAGGAGGAAGATGACAATGCCGAACTGCCTCCATCCTGAGCACAAGAACAGATGGCGCCCGCTGCCCGTCTCTCCTTTGGCCCCAGAGATGAGGAGCCGGCACACCAGGACCTGGGTGTCCTGTTGGTGCCGTGCAGCCCACCTGGCGAGTTGGTGATGGAGGCGTGGAAGCAGCTGAAGTTGATGAGCGCATAGGAGCACAGGAAGAAGTTGGAGATGATGGGGGCAATGGAGTTGAGTTCAGCTGCGAGGAGAGACAGAGATACCCTTCATGCCGGAGCCACCAGGAAGCAGACTGAGGCCTAGTTATGCCGGAGGAGACTGAGACACTGCTGTCTGGGGGCAAGAGGTGCGTGAGGCCAGGGAAAGCACCTACCGATCAGGATGAAGCCCACGGCAATGGCGTAGGTGAGGATGTACCCGCGGATGGGCTCGCTGTTCTTTCCATAGCCCTTCCCAAAGAAGCCGATGAGAGGGTAGAGTTGGTCCTTGCAGAGGCACTGCAGGAAGAAGTGCTGCACTGGAGGACTGGCTTGGGAGCTGCACACGAGTGAAGACCTGGCCATGCAGCTGGTTATTTCCAGGAAGAAGCATGAAGCTGGCTGGGCAGTGACCGGCACGTGGGTGGGCAGCACCCCGTGGTGCGAAGGACACACTGGAGCGGGCAGCGCTAATGCGGAGGTGAGGGCCCATTCCGCTCTGCCCGTGAACCTGCCTTGTCCGTGCTGCGCTTGGCTCCGTGATGCTCTCTCTGAGCTCCCAGGCTTTGCTTTTAAACCCGGGGTGATGGGAGGCAC